CTTAAGCCACAGGTGTGACACTTAACAGAGTTATAAAAATGACTAATAAGTGGTTGTAAAACAACCTGTAAAGGTCATAACAATAATTATAGTCAATTAGTACAAATTAAATTGCTGACATTTAAAAGTATTCTACAAATAATTCAGAGTATTCCTTCTATAATTTTAGACTCATAAAGGGGGAAAATATAGCGCCCACTGGTACGATACGTACAAGAAGGTGCTTTCATGTTTTTTAACTTTATGTATTGGCAAAAAACTGGAAGGAATTGAACAAATGTAAAAGGTGGCTTTGATATGCAGAACTCTGATTTTTCACAGTGTAATTTGGCTTCATTTGACAAAACACCAGAAGTAAAAATGTGGAAAAAAAAAAAGAAGTAAAAATGTAGAGAGGGTACATTAAACATGTGCTCTGAAGGAAGGAAATGATAGGAAGAAACAATACTAACACAGCTTGACATTAAATAGACATATGCCAGACACAGTAATGACAAAAATTAATTTACTAATATTTGGGAATATTCCTAAATCACTATCTCTAAATTCATAAAATGTCTTATAAATGTCCTGAAATTTGAGAGGCTGTATTATAATTGTCAAAATAAAATATCAAGCGGCTTTTCAGTGGGATTGGGCTTTAAAAAAAACCCAAATAACTATCAGTCTCATAAATGTTAGCTATTTATAGGCTACTTATTTATTTTTGTTTTTTGAACCCCACCCAGCGCTGCTCAGGGGTTACTCCCAGCTCTGCACTAAGGAATCACTCCTGGGGGTGCTTGGGGGACCATATGGGATGTGGGGAATAGACTGAACCCAGGTCAGCTGAGTGCTAGGCAAATGCCCTACCTGCTGTAACATCACTCTGGCCCCTAATGATGCAATTTAACTCCCTACTTTCTTATTCTTCAAAAACTAAGATTGAGGAGCCAGAAGATAACTCAGAGGTGAGTGCATACTTTGCATATGGAAGGATCAAGTGAATCCCCAGCACTCTCTTTCCATATGATAGGAGGAAGGGGCATGGGGTAGGGTGTGGGGAGAAAGAGGTAAAACAAAACAGACTTATAAAGGAAAAGAAGAGAAATTACATATTCCCAATCAGGCTGTGGCTAAATCCAGAATGCAGGATGACATGTTTTTGGGTATTTTTTTTAAGTCATATTAGATTTCAAACCCATTGAAAGTTGGTTCAATTGCACAGTGAGAGACTTCCTTAATACTCTAAACTTTCTGCAGATTATCACCTAAAATAAATTAAAGTTTGCAATTTTTTTGTAGCCTTTTTAAAAAAAAATAATAATCCTCTGGATGTATTCGATATGCCAAACACAGTAACAATTGTCACAATGGAGACGTTATTGGGCCTGCTCGAGCAAATTAATGAACAACGGGAGGACAGTGACAGTGAATCCTCTGGACATAAATGAAAAGTAGTGTTCTCTCTGCAAGGGGAAATAGAAGGGTATGCACACTACTTGTCTGATGTCAGTTAAGCAGAGACCAAACTTAAGGGCCTCTTCTCTTCCCCTTCAAAGGCTGGATTACATCCAAATCAATCAATTTCCCTTATTTTAGGGCAGAATCGGCCTCAATTTATTTCAGATGACCTAGAAAGGTCAAATGTGCTCCAGGGGACATTCTAGTGGTCTTCAAGTGAAAAACAATAAACTCAAAGTGTTACATGTGAGCTACTGATTAGATCAAAACCCAAGAAGACCCTAAAATGTAGACTCTAAATATAAAGTTCTATAAAAACTGACCAAATTCATGTCCTTACCCGGGACCCACATCAAATAAATCTCACATTAGTATGACCTCAGCAGAAACTGGATACGCCCCAGCAAAAGATGAGTATGTCTTCAGGTATATACCTTATGCCAAACTTTCTGACATACTCCAGGTAGTTTCACTGTCCAGAGTAGAAGCAAACTGACAGATGATCAAACAAGGAATTCAAAAGGAATTTTCTTTTCTTTTTCCTTTTAATTTTTTAGTGTTGAGGTAACATGGTTGCAACAGAGTTAACGTCAATGCAACTTTATTTACTATTGCACCCCACCACTACCATCAAAGAAGAAATTAATTTTTCAAGGCTGGAAAGGACTTGTTTGTAGGACAGAACTAGAGAGAACTATGCTAAGTGAAATAAACCAAAACGATTCATATATGAATAAAATGAAACAAGATAAGGAGACCAAATCAAACCAAAACCAAAACCAACTTTGAATCTAGCTGCAGGATTGGGGAGGGGGTGGGGAGCGATAAAGGGTGCTGCAGGTCCAATGGACAATAATGCAGAGATACTAGCACTTTGCTGGTGGGGGTGAATATATGCACATATACCTAAAGGGATGTAAATAAGTACAGTGTTATGGAAGGAAAGGAAGGGAGAGACAAAAGGACATATTTGCAAAGACACTTAAAAAGATCTCTAAAGCTATACACAGATTGCTAACAGCAGTTATCTTTGGACTCCCCATGTGATAGAGAAGCAGAATGTGCAAGGGTGGGTTTCACTGATTATGTATGTATATATATTATATATAGTATATATATTATATATTATAATATGTATAATATTATAATATGTATTATATATAGTATATATATTAGATATTATAATATGTATAATATATAATATATACTATATATAATAAATATAGTGTAATAAATATAATATTACACTATACATATACATTATATAATAAATATATTATATAATATGTATAATATATAATATATATACTATATATAATATATATATTGTTTTAACTTATTAAGCCACCAAGTAATTTCTGTAATTTTGAAAGAACCCTAAGTTTAATCTGATTCCATGTTTTAAAAAGATTAAATATATTTGTATGAAATTCACGTAAAAATTAAATGCCATTTTACATAAGTGTGGCTACTAGGTCAAACAGAAATGATACAATTATCCTATCCTAAAAAATAAAAATATGGAAAACAAAAGTGCCCATAGAAACTGTCCTCCACTACTCAACATTCACTTCTTTGATTATATATACAGTATTAGCCACCAGAGGGAGTCTGTATATCCACCCACCCCCTCAATATTAAACCCAATAATCTCTTCAATTTTAATTTCATTTAAAAGGTGATGCTGACAGAGCTTTAAGCAATTTAATACAATTTTATAGAAATCAATTCATAGAAAAATTTATTTTGCACCAACAAAACACTGCCTTTCAAAGTCAATTTTTTTCATAAGAATGATGTATGTATAGATATAAATTTATACTTTACTGGAGTCTAGTTTTCTTAGAAAAAAGTTTACTAATCTCACAAGTAAAACATCTAGACAATAAACTATTATTTTAATGGAGCAATAAAATCCCTCAATTGTTAGACAATGTTGAGATTTTTAAAAAGTAAAAGTTTACACAACTATGACTCCTTAAAAAGAAAGAAGTGGACACCAGCTGAAAATAGCATCATCCACCCACTAAGTTCAATGGAAATAAACCAGCATATACTGCAGCAAAACACAGTTTGATGCAGTATGACCAAATATCTCTGAAAGTTAAATCTGAATGTCAGAGACAGGATACAGGGGCTAAGGTGCTTGCCTTGCATTCTACCAGGTTCGGATCAGGGGCAAGAGGTGGACACCAAGTAAGCTCCCCCCCACCCCCAAGCTGAAAGACAAGAGGAGGCTCCCCACCACACCCTAAGTGCAGTCAAACCCTGTTACCCAAAGATAATGTGGGGGGTCACTAAGATAGTTCATGGATCAAGGGTTCAAGGTCCCAAGTCAAGGTCTCAGTCTGATTGGAAGAGCACTGCAGGGACTCCTGGACAGGTTTGGGGTACCCGGTCCCCCAAAGTTAAATTTACAATATTCAACATTTAGAAACTGAAAAACTAAAATGCAAGTGTGTGTGTGTGTGTGTGTGTGTGTGTGTGTGTGTGTGTTCACATCCCAGCAGTGATGCTGGATGGGGGAACAATATGGGACGCCAGGAACTGAATCCAGATCTATAGCATGCAAGGGAAGAATCTCACCATTTGTACTATCTCTGCAGCACTCCTAAAGTTTATCTCTGATTAATTTTCCTCTCCTTTTGAGAAAAATCACATTGAAGGCAGAGCATACTGGTAGGTAGAGCACTTGCCAAGCATGTGGGCAAATCAAGTTCAAACCCAGGCACCCCATATGGTCCACCAGGAGTGATCCCTGAGCAGAGAGACAGGAGTAAGCTTTGAGCAGTGCAGGGCTCTGACCCAAAAACCAAAAACAAAAGCAGAAAAAAAAGAAAGGAAAAAAAGGGGGGGACAGACAAAATCATCAAATCATTACAGAAAAGCGAGATAAGCAGATGGACAAAGATCAAGTTTTTTGGAGAAGAGCTTCCGTTTCATGGAGTTCATATATCCATATTCTAGCCAGAGATTTTCAAAAAAATAATACATCCACCGTGCTCGCCTCATTTTCCACTCCCCTTCCCTTGGGGAGTTCTCTGTTCCCCAAATGGTCACTCCTCTTCCAGTAAGCTCCCAATTTCCTCGCACGCACGAGATCAAATCCAAGGCCATATCTATTTCCAGCCCTCTGGCCTGGGCTCAATTCTCGCCTAGCTTCTTTCACTTTACAATCATCTCCGTGCAACAGGTCAATCCACAGAAAGCGTCCTCCACCGCCCACCTCCCAACCCCCTTTACTTCCCCTCAACTGCTGGCCACGACTAGGTCTGTCCACAATTTCCAAATCTGCGCTAACCTTCAGAACGACACTCAACCTGGCCAGCTCCTTCACACCGAGTTCGCTTCCTTCCCCTGGACAAGATGACAAACCAGATTCCGGGTGTCCCCCGGGGAAAAATTTTGCAGCTGCCAGCTCATATCCTTTTCAGAACGTTTGCTTTTCAACAAACATTCTGCGGGCTAAAAAAAAAAAAGAAAGAAAAATCCACCTGCTTTCTCCTCTTATCACTGCAAACGTGAGCCATCAAAATGCAACCTCCGAGCCACATTACCTCAACTTTGATTTGCAGGAATCGGCGTTCACTGTCAAGCAGACGGGAGCGGTGCAAGTTTCTTCTTGTGCTTTTCTTTCCACTAAAAAAAGAAGGCACGGGAATTTGTTGTTGGTGGTGGTGGTGGTGATGGTTGTTGAAGACGAGCAAGCATGCCACCAATGCCGTCACGACGGGTGAGCGGCACACCACCAACTGATTTGATGATGATGATGTCTTTTGGTTTTTGTTTTTTTTTCAATCTGGCAGGTCCGAGGCCGCACGCGCGCGCGGCTTTTGATCTTTTTCGGGATGCACAGACAGCAGCACCCCGCCGTGCACCCGCGGGACGCCCCGCGCGGGAGCAGCCCCGAGACTCGCAGCCCGGCTGGGACTGACACGGCGGCGGCGCGCGGGGCGGGCAGGGGGCGGGGGGCGGGGGTGGGGTCAGGGCTGCGCCCCCCCGCCCCCCGCGAACGAGGGTGGGCGCCCGCCGCGGGGCTCCCCGGCGAGAAGGCGGCCGCTGGGCACAGGCCGGGCCCCGCAGCCGCGGCCGCTAACGGAACCCGCCGCCGGGAGGCCGCGGGGGCCGCTCGGACGGCCGGGCGGGCGGCGGCGCGCGGGGCCGGGCGCCGCGAGGGCGGGGGTTCCCCGCGAGGAGCTGGCCGCCCCGGCGCCCCATTGGGCGCCGCTCCAAACGTGCCCGAGTTGTGACAGGAATAAAGTGGGTCACAAGGCCTAGCGGGTCCCCGCGCGCGCCCGCCCGCCCCGGCCGCGGGGCTCGGCCGGCCGCGCCGCCCGGCACCGACCCCGCGGGCCGCGCTCCGGCCCCTCGGCCTCGGCCTCGGCCCCCGCCGCGCGCCCGCCGCCCGCCGCCCGCCGCCCCTCGGGTAACCCCGGCCGGGGCGCCCCGCAGGGCCCGCGCGGGCCTCCGCCGCCAAACTCCGGGGACGAGCCGCGGCGCGGCGACAGGCGAGACAGACGCGGGCGGCAGCTCCCGCCCTCCCCTCCTTGGCCGCCGCCCCCCGGCCCCACACACGCCGCCCCCCGCTCCCACCCCTTCCCCGCGCCCTCACCGTGGGGCTGGCGGCGGCGGCTCCGGCTCCGGCCCTCCCCCACCCCGGAGTCCCGGCGGCCACTCGGCAGCGGCGGAGCCGGGGGCGTCGCGGGCGCTCGGCTGGGCGGGCTGGGGCGCCGGCGGCACCTGGGGCCCGGAGTCGCGCCCCCCGCCCCCGCCCCGAAATTCAGCGCTCCGGCCGCCCGCTCCTCCTCCTCCTCCTCCTCCTCCTCCTCCTCCCCCTCCCGGCCCGTCCCCTCCTCCACCGCCGCGACCGCACGCATGCGCCGCCGGCGCCGGCCGCCCGGCGCACGTCAGCCCCCCGGGCCCACCCGGCGGGGCGCCACTCACCGGGAGCGCGCACGCGGCGGCGGCGGCGGCGGCGGCGGCGGCCGGCGGGGCTCCGCGCGCTCGCTCGCCCGCTCCGGGCCTCAGCTGGCGGCCGCTCGCTCGCCGCCCCGCCGCCCGCGAGAGCGCGCTCCCTGCCGGCGCATGCGTGGTCCGTGACCCCCGCGGGCTCCGACGGCCGCCGCCCGCCCCTCCCCTCCCCTCCCCTCCCCTCACTCTCCCTTTCCCCGGAGCCGCCCGCCGGCCCGCTGGCCCGCTCGCCGCGCATGCGACTTGCGGGGGCTGGCCGCGCCGAGCCCGGCTGGGGGGGCGGGGGGGAATCTCCCCGGCCCCCCCCCCCTTCGCGGAGCCCGTTACTGGAAAGCCGGGGAGGCGGGGCCCAGCCTGGGGGTGGCTGGGGGGGATGCTAGGGGGACGGGAGCTGCCGCGACGCTGGAAGATGCTGGCGGGCGTCGAAGAGGAGGTGGAGGAAGAGCTCCGAGCCGGGAGGAAGGATTCCGAGGCCCAAAGGAACCCCCTGTCCCCCTTTCAAAGGAAACCTAAAGACGACTAGCGGGTGTTGGCATCACTCGCGTTTCCTCTCCCCGGGAAGTGGGGAAGGGAGGGTGTGCGCTAAGGACGGGACTGGCGGGATCCTCCTTGGGTCGCTGCTTCTTGGGGGCTGCTTCTTAAGGTGCTGGTTCTAGGACCAACTGGATGACCCCGTGGCTAGAGGAGCGACAGCAATACAGAGGCCTTGGATGTCTTTTTTGCTTTTTTTCCCCACCGGCCTTTTATTAGTGGCCTGGTGATGCGGGGTGAGGATACATCCAGAAGTTTAATTTTTTACCCCTTGCTTTATTCGAACTGAGCGTGAATATTTACTGTTTTAGAAGAGAAAATGATTTATCCTGATGCTTAACACAAAGTTGGAAGGCCAGGGAATTTTGAGATTAGTTCAAAAGGCTGGAGTGCAAGTTTGGCAGGCACCATGCCCCAAGTTCGACCCCTGACAAAGTATCTACCCCCTTTCCCCAACACATCCCTCATTCCTGCAGTCATGGAAGAGACAAAGCACTGCTGGGCCCAAGCAGCAAGCACTGCTACCCCAGGACACCTAAGCATTGATTGGGGAATCTCATCTAATCCTGAAATGGTCCATCAGTGAAAGCACATTATTTGTGGTTGTAAAGTTATTGGAAGAGGTATTTCTATCTTAATAACTAGCAGTTTTCATGTCCTTTGGATTTGAAGTAAAAGTCACTTTTTTTTCATGTACAACGATCAGATTTATTTATTTTTATTAGTGAAACACCATGAGGTATAGTTGTAGACTTAGAAATTTTTGTGCTTGGGTTTCAGTTATACAATGATCCCATCCCTCCACCAGTGCCCATTTTCCACCACCACGGGTCCCAGTATCTGTCCCACCCCCATCCCCCCATCCCACCCTGTGGCAGGGCATTCCCTTTCTCTTCTCTTCTCTCTCTCTCTCTCTCTCTCTCTCTCCCCCCCCCCCTTTTGGAAAAACCACTTTTTTTGCTTAGAAAAATAACTCGGATACACAGTCCTCCAAGGTAAGAGTAAACATTTCAGAAAAATCTTCAAAATCAAGGAACTTATATTCAGATGTCAGAGCCTTCCCCTGAGAATTTTTCCTTGGAAAGAAAGCATGCTTCGTTAGCTTCCTCCATATAACAAGGGGTTTAGTAGCTGTGTTGCTGTCCAGCATTCATTCCCTTTAGAGAATTCAACCTGTAAGGCCTCTGCAACACTCCAAGAAGAAAGCAGATTTAAGTTCACTCTGCCTTTGTGGATTTAAATCTAAAGGGGGAAATCAAGGACCAAAGCCACTTTTCTGTTCATGAATTCTGAGAAGGTGACTTAAAAAACCACATTCAGAGATTTTCCCAGGAGACATTTCTGATGGATGTCCAGAAACTGCTGTAGGCTAAATGACTGGGAATTTGTGGTCCTAAAAATAGTACAGCAGGCAAGGCCCTTGATTTGATGCCAGCCATCTCTGGTTTGATGCCCGGCATCCAATATGGTCTCTCGAATCCCACCAGAAATGATCCTTGAGCACAGAGCTAGGCATAAGGCTTGAGAACTATGGTGTGGCCCATAACCCAAAAAAAAAAAAGACTGGGAATTTCAAATTAAACTAGTCAGTATTTTCAAGTGTTCATTTTATTGCTTACACCAGGGAGGCTTTCTGTCACTTGCAATGATGAATTTTGAAACTTGGTAGCAAGAAAGGCGGCAAGGTAGGGTGAAGCCAGACTAGACGACAGAATGCTTGTCCTAGGATGTGGCTGTAAAGACTATACCCTCTTGGTATAGTTTACATCTAGATTCTAGGACATAGATCTTCAAAAATACCTTTGCCCTTTTTAATGGTTCCATTGTCCTCTTAGTCACCAGGATCAAATCATGTTCATCTTTGACTCCTTCCTCTCACTTTCTGTATTTAATCATTTACCAAGACCTGTTGATAACTTTATTTTCCCTCTGTCATCCTTCATAATTTCCATGGTTCAGTTACCCTTTTTACCCTTACCCTTTTTCCTCACATTCTCTTCAAGAGAACACTTAGGTATTTCTAATAACTTTCTAACTTTCCACATTTTTCTTTTGTTTGTTTTGTTTTTGCTTTTGGGGTCATGCCCAGTGATGCTCAGGGGTTATTCCTGGCTCTGCACTCAGGAATCACTCCTGGCAGTGTTCGGGGGACCATATGGGATGCCAGGGATTGAATCCAAGTCAGCCGAGTGCAAGGCAAATGCCTTACGCCCTGTTCTATCACTCCATCCCCACTTTCTAACTTGCAAGTTACAATTTTCCCTTAAAAATTCTGTCTAACAAATCCTTATTTTATGTCCCCTGACCTAAATCTCTCTTTAAATACAATTTGTATAATTTAGATACTCCATTTTTTTCTCACGCCTTGCTGTTAATTTAAACAGAACAATTTCGGGACAGAGAGTGTAACTTAATTGGCTGGGCACATGCTTTGCATACAGGAGGCCCTGGGCTTCCTAGTCAGTATTTTCACCTGTCCGTTTTATGCTTATAATTCCCTGAGCACGACCATGTATGAGCCTGACAGTATAAACACACAGAAATTATCATTTGTGACTCCCTTTCCAACTGACTTCCTGTATTTTGATATTTTAATGGAGGCAATATAGCATGGTAGTTAAGATCAATAAAATTAATAAACTACCTGAATTTAAAACCCATCTGTAACATCTGTATGACTTCAAGTTATTTTTCTGTTCGTTGGTTTTCTCATCTGTAAAATGAGAATAATAAAAATACCAACTCATATAATAACAGGAGAGAAAGGGAGGAGAAAGGAAGAAGAGATGATAGGAAGATAGGTGGGTATACTAGTCCCTTGTACTTAAATCCTATATAAGTGTTGACATTTTATTATAGAAGGGCAATACCCAAGAGTGCTCAGTGACCATCAGGACCACTATATCTGCAGTGCTGGGGTAGATGGTCACATGGTTCTGGGCATGAACCAGAATTTTATTTGTGTTTTGTGTTGTCTGGGGCATACCCAGCAATCCTCAGGGGTTACTCCATGTTCTGTGCCCAGGGATCGAACCCAGGTCAGCCACATGCAAAGAAAGCACCTTACCCACTGTACTATAGCTCTGACCCCTCATGAATTTGTTTTCAGTGCCAGAGTGAAGCTCATGGCTTCACCCTTGCCTCATGTAAAGCATTCATGGAAAGAACTACATCCCTAACTTAAGTGCTTATATATTTGATGTTTGATGTTTGTTATTCCATCTTTCGCATCACCACATGGTGAACTCCCAAGGCAAGAGCCAGGTGTTTTGTTCACCACTATATATACAGCATTCATTTCAATGTCTGAGGTAAGTAAATGAATGAATGAGATAAAAGGTGCATGCTAAAAGGATTAGAGGATATCTTTATATAACAAATTATGGTTGCAATCAGATATTAATATTGTCAAGAGATAATCTTAGTAATGTGTATTAAAATAAAAAATAGAGGGAATAGAGAGAGATAGTACAGTGTGTAAGACCCTTGCCTTGCATTCAGCCAAGTTGGGTTCAAAGCCTGGTACACCATCTGGTCCCTTGAGCCCTGACAGGAATGATCCCTGAGCACAGATATAGTAGGAAGCCCTGAGTAAAGTCTTCCTCTGCCCCACATAAAAGAGAGAGATAGTGAAATATATTACTAATCCTGTCTTAGCAATTAAAGACCTCTAGATATGTGACACTAATACTTACTGCTAACACATGTAAGAGAATGCTAGTGAGAATGCAAAATGGAGAACAAAGGACATTAAGTACTTCATCTTCTAAATAACTGCAGACATCTGAGGCCAGGGCTAAAAGCAAAACAAAACTACTTGAATAGTTTAAGTCTCCACGTCTCCAGCTCTCTACCTGCAAGTCTTATAAGCAGGGTACTTGAGAGTAGGAAGCAATTACTGGCACCATGTCAGAAGTTTCTCAATAATACTGTGGTGTTTCGTATTTATTCTCCCCCTCTGAGTTAAGTGAACAAGTCTGCAACAAAATCAACCCAGAGAAACTAGAGATGATGGCAAAGAGACACTGCCACTCTATCCACAGGCATTTTGTCCACAGGAAAAAGAGGCATAGAAAGCCTGGCCAAGTAATGAGCTGATATAAAGCTACACATACCAACAATTTGGTATGGCATGGACATGTAAGCATCTTCTAGGTTCATTGATGCTGATATAAAAAGTGCCACCCAGCATCTGTATTGCCTATAATGCCCAAAAGTATAGAGAGAGTATGGGAGAAATTATCTGCTACAGAGGCAGGGGGAGGGC